CAGAAATTCGCAACCTTCTCAACCGATTTCCAGAAGTCTTGGCCGAACCGCATGGAGTCCCCGTGCGTCCGGTCCGACACAAGATCGAGTTGATCGAAGGTAGCACTCCTCCAAAGGGCTGTGTCTATCGTATGGGTTCAGGCGAATTGGAGGAGTTGCGACGGCATATTGATGATATGATTGGGAAGGGATGGATCAAACCAAGTGAGTCTGAGTTCGGTGCACCGGTGTTGTTTGTCCCTAAGAAAGRAGGCAAACARCGGATGTGTATTGACTACCGCGGATTGAATAGAATCACAAGAAAGAATGCATATCCTTTACCACGTATTGATGATATGCTTGACGCTGCACGTGGGTGCACAGTCTTCAGCACGATCGACCTCAAGTCTGGCTACCACCAGATTGAAGTCGAACCTGCGGACCAGCACAAAACTGCATTCAAAACTCGCGATGGGTTGTACGAGTTCACAGTCATGCCCTTCGGTGTCATGAATGCACCAGCCACCTTTCAAAGTCTAATGGATAAGGTATTTCGCAATCAGATCAACCGATTTGTTGTTGTATATATGGATGACATACTAATCTTCAACAAATCGATGGAAGAGCACATGAGACACCTTGAGGAAGTGATGCAGATCCTCAAGGACGCGCAGCTCCATCTCAACTTGGAGAAATCTGAGTTTGGGAGGGACAGCGTCATCTACCTTGGACATCGGTTGTCTGTTGTAGGCCTAGAGCCCAAGGCAACCAAAGTTGAGGTCATCCAAAAATGGCCCCAACCTGCAAATGTCCGCGAGCTGCGTTCTTTTCTTGGTCTTGCGTCATACTACCGTAAGTTTGTGCCAAAATTCTCTATCATCGCCCGTCCGCTGTTTAGACTAACAAGCAAGAATGTGTCCTACGCATGGACTGAAGAATGCACGACAGCCTTTGAAGCATTGAAAGAGGCTTTGGTGAGTCATCCGGTGCTGCGCATTGCAGATCCCAAACTTACATTCGTAGTAACTACGGATGCGAGTTTGTATGGGATTGGTGCGGTGCTGCAACAAGACGATGGGGATGGCTTACGTCCGCTTGAATATTACAGCAAACACATGCCCAATCACAAGGTAGCCGCTTCCACCTACATGAGAGAGCTCTATGCCTTGAGAGAGGCACTAGACCACTGGAAACACTACCTCTTGGATTGCCATTTCAAAGTGTTCTCAGACCATGAGACTTTGAAATGGATTCAGACACAGGTTAACCCATCAACCACATTGACCCGATGGCTGCATGAGATTGATGTGTATGATTTTGAACTCAAACACAAGAAAGGCTGCTATAATCGTGTTGCGGATGCATTGTCTCGCCACCCCGAATATATGACTTGCCTTGTGGGTTCCTATGACGTTCGTAAGCATCTGAAAGAGGAACTCATTATGCATACTGCCAAGGATCCGGAACTCAGTCCCATYCTTGAGCAGATCCGGGCTGACCCTAGTAGTCAGCCTGATTTCCATGAATGCAAGGGCCTTCTCTTTCGACGTTGGGGAAAGCATGACCGATTGTGTGTACCCAACCATGAGCCGATCCTCACTCACTTTTTGGACCTGGCCCATGGCCGAAGTGGACACTTCGGTGTTGAGAAGACATACGGAAATCTGTGGAAAAGTTTGTGTGGCCTGGAATGAAAGGAATGGCGCAAAGGTTTGTGGCTGAGTGTGAAGTTTGTCAACGCATCAAACCGTCTCGACAGAAGCCATATGGGCTGCTGCACCCTCTTCCTATCCCTGATGGCCCGGGTGAGTCTGTTTCCATTGACTTCACAGACATGGGGAAGAAGAGCAGAAACGGTTATTCACAAGTGATGGTGATCGTTGATCGGTTTTCGAAGTTTCTTAATTCGATTCTCTTGCCACCTCACGCCCCAACTGACCTTGTGATCGATGAGTTCAACAAAAGGTACATTCTGCACTATGCCCCCCCGAAAACTCTTGTGAGTGATCGGGACACCAGGTTCATAAGCGCAGACTGGAAAGATTTCACCTCCCAGACCTACGACATGAAACTCAAGATGACGTCTGGGCGACATCCTGAAGCCAATGGACAGGCTGAGGAAATCAACCAGACCGTGATCCAACTTCTCAGGGCTCTARTTGTACCTGACCAAAACTCTTGGGATGAGGAGTTGCCGATTGTGCAGGGGTTGTACAACAACCCCATCCACTCCTCCACCGGGATGACGCCTAAACGGCTGCATCTTGGATGGAAAATCCGCAATCCTCTATCTTATATGCTTCCTAATCAGCCACCTGGCCTAACACCTGGCCAGCCAGGCTACACCGCTAAGTTTGATCGCCTGCTCAAAGTTGCTGTTGCAGCTATGGAGAGGCGACGCAGTGCCATGATTAAACATGCTAACAAAAAGCGCCAGCCTGCACCATTGACAGTGGGAAGTTATGTCTGGGTCAAAATGTCTGAGTTTTCTGAAGAGGAAGGTGTGTCACCAAAGCTTCTTCCTCAGTACTACGGTTCGTGGAAAGTATTGAACCAGGTAGGGAGTGATTCCTTTGGCCCTTCATATACGACCGATGTGCCTGCTCATCTGCGCACATATCCAGTCTTTCACGCATCGAAGTTGTTTCCGTATGAATCACCTGAAACGTTCAAGTATCGAGAATCAATGATTCCCCGCGCAATCAATGGCGGTCATGAGGTTGATAGGATTGTCGAACACAGGGGGAAGTGAAGAAACAGACAGTACAAAGTCCATTTTTTGTACCATCTGTTGGATGATTTCTACTGGATTGCTAAGAAAGACTTACTACAGAGTGCACCGCGTGTTGTGAACGCCTACAAACGATTGATAAGTTCTGAACAACAACCAAAATTCACTGCTACCCTGACTCCTACGGAACACACCCCATCTCTCTTCGCTATCTACGTCTACGATGCATTGTGCAAGGACTCTGAATGAGTTACTCGCTSGAAGGGMCCTCGCTCTTGAAGGGGGGGTAGTGTAATGACCCGTCAAAACACAGACTGRGAASACTGCTGATTTCTGAAGTTCTGCCGATGGAATGGATGCCTTGTTGAGATTCCCGCATTCTGCTGTGTTTTCTAAGTCTGTCTGTGTGTGCGTGCTTGTGACCTG